GGGGGGGGCGAAAAAAAAATTCTGCCCCGGGCGCCCAGAACACTGGTTACGCCACTGGATCCCCGGCACAATTGTCGGGATCCGCTTCAGCTGCGGCAGTCTCAGTATACCCGCGAGCTACAGCTCTCTATATACTGAGCCTGGGGTGACGGGAGGACGCTAGTTTGTGTCCTCCCGTTACCCTGAGGAGAACTATGGGGAAAAGACTTAACCCCATACTTCTCCTTTAAAAAATGTCAGCCATGTGCGGGATAATTCTTCTATTACAAATCTTAAAGGAAGCTGCGCAAGATCAAAGAATATCATATCAGCGGTATTCATGAAATAGAAGAAGGAAGTCTGACCATTGACACTGAGACTCGGATAATATTGAAGCTCTCTGCTATTAATAGAGGTGAAAGGGATGTTCTGTTCTGTACACAATTCCTATAATATTCCTATGTTACTAAGACAGGATGGAACCTCATAAATGGCGAGCCAGGCTTCGTGTGACTCCGCAATTCCCACCAGGAAATCCTATCATACGTCCTATTGTTCAGTCCTGAAATGTATGTGAAGCGCGTCCATTACGGGGCCCGATTATAAAGACTCCTCTTCACGTTCCCATATTATCCTTTAGAACCATGGGTACCATTTATTGTAAGAAAGTCATCCCTCATCCATCTTACTTTATGTAACTATATATAATCTGGAAGGTTTAGAATGTAGGAGATGCCCTTTATTGGCTAACCTACGTTTTAATAGCTGCAGCTTTCTGGATGCCGTCATACTAAAGGAATGCCCAATTCAAGTATCATTCTAAATCAGCAACATTCCACATGCACAATGCATTCAAGGTGTACAATGCCTTACAGCTGCTTTTCTTTAGAAAGCAGCCACAGCCAGGGTAGAGAAGCCTGTCTCCTGCCAGCATGCTGCAGAGAAGGACCCTTGCTCTCTGTGTGGAAGCAGTGGTCTCTCTGCAAAGGTACACTATGTTACCAAAAGTATTGGGACGCCGGCCTTTACACGCACATGACCTTTAATGGCGCCCCAGTCTTAGTCCGTAGGGTTCAGTATTGGGTTGGCTCCGCCCTTTGCCGCTATAACAGCTTCAACTCTTCTGGAAAGGCGTCCACAAGGTTTAGGGGCGTGTCTATGGGAATGTTGGACCATTTGTGAGGTCAGGTACTGATGCTGGAGGAGAAGTCTTCGCTCTAATTCACCACAAAGGTGTTCTATGGGGTTGAGGTCAGGACTCTGTGCAGGCCAGTCAAGTTCCTCCCCCCCAAACTCCCCCCATCCATGTCTTTATGGACCTTGCTTTGTGCACTGGTGCGCAGTCATGTTGGAACAGGAAGGGGCCGTCCCCAAACTCCTCCCACAAAGTTGGGAGCATGAAATTGTCCAAAATGTCTTGGTATGCAGAAGAGTTCCCTTCACTGGAACTAAGGGGCGGAGCCCAACCCCTGAAAAACAACCCCCATCCCTCATAATCCCCCCTCCCCCAAACTTTACACTTGGCACAATGCAGTCAGGCAAGTACCGTTCTCCTGGCAACCGCCAAACCCAGACACGCCCATCGGATTGCCAGACAGAGAAGCGTGATTGGTCACTCCAGAGACCACGCCTCCTCTTCTCTAGAGTCCAGTGGCGGCGCGCTTTACACCACTGCATCCCACGCTTTGCATTGCACTTGGTGATGTGCGGCTTGGATGCAGCTGCTCGGCCATGGAAACCCATTCCATGAAGCTCTCTACGCACTGTTGTTGCGCCAATCTGAAGGCCGCATGGAGTTTGGAGGTCTGTAGCTATTGACTCTGCAGACAGTTGGCGACTTCTGCGCACTGTGCGCTTCAGCATGCGCTGACCACGCTCTGTCATGTGACGTGGCCGACCACTTCCTGGCTGAGTTGCTGTTGTTCCCAGTTGCTTCCACTTTGTTATAATCCCAGTAACAGGCGACCGCGGCGGAATATTTAGTAGCCGGGAAATGTCACAGAACACCTGAATCCAATGATTTGGAGGGGCGTCCCAATACGTTTGGTAATATAGTGTATATTACACCCCCTCTAATGGGTCAGAGCTAGAGCTCTTCTATAAGCAGGGATCATGAACTTTGCTGACTGGAGAGCTCTAGTTCTGACTCAGCAGGGGGAATGTCAGACCTCTGCAGGGAGAGCAGTCTATGAGAAAAAAGGTCAGGTAGCCTCAACCCATGAAACAGGAATCCAAGTGGATGTCCCCAGCTTTCGGGAGTTATCCAATTGCTTTTGAAGATCACGAAGGAACTACTTTCTTGTTGGACATATCAGACCACTTTTATGGGTTTTACCTTGCTATGGATCACTCGGAGGTTTAGGATTCTGAGGATGTAAGAGGGGTTTTATATTGGTCATCAGTCTCCCAGCACAGGGATCAAACGGGGAAGCAGATTTAATCTACTAGTCTGATGAGAGGAAATGTATCTGACCTTTACATTGACTCTGTCCAGGATGTTCTTCAGTGTCCGCACTTTGCTGGAGAATTTCTGAAGTGAGAGCTCCAATTTACATTCCGAGATGAACTTTGTAACCTTCGGGACAGCAGTCATAAGTAAAGAGAGTCCCTGCTGAACTTCATCCCTCTGCTGAGATATCTACACAAAAAGAATGAATATTGCTTTATATACCTGGAGACATTCCAAACAAATAAATCATCCGTAACATTATTATCACCAAACTACCAACTAACGCCTTTGTTTTTTCTCACCTCAACGATTGCCCCTCTCTGCTCATGGACCTACCGCAATATAGGCTATTCCCTACCTTAGTCTATCATGGATGCTCCTGACATAGTCATCCACCTTACCAACTGCTGAGACCCTCCACCCATCTCTGCCAATCCCTCCACTGGCTTCCATCCCCTGCCCCTCTCTGCCAATCCCTCCTCCGGCTTCCATCCCCCC